CCAAAAGTTACTTACTGGGGTGTTATCTCACACTTGTAATTACAACTGGGGAGGACTCAGTTCAGGGCCAGCCTGGGCTACAAACCAAGACCCTATCTTAACAAGTACGAACATGAAGCCTGAGGTTAAAAATTACCCTGCTCATGCAATTGGGCAAATTTCAATTTAGTGTCCTTCATGAGAGCATTTGATCTTTGTGGATGTGACTCATCACTGGACCTTTGCCAAAGGGCCTAGGGGCCACGTGGGTGGTTTACCAAACTGATTTGATAGGTCCTGAGAAGAGGATTCTGTGTTGACTAAAGAACCAGAACCTAGTTTCCACAGGCTTTTATTTTGGCACTCAAGCAGTCATTGTGGGTATTTCTTTTAGCACAAGCAGTCACATTGTTCCAGGTGCTGGGAATACAACAGTAGGCAGAACAAAGTCCTTATCAGTGGGGAAAGGTGAATGTAAGTGGTTATGGATTGGAAAAGGATTAGGAGATAGGAAGGGTTGGGGTAGGGATGTGGGATTTCTGTTGCATTTCAGGCCCTAGTTTATGCTAACGTGGCCTTTGGTCCTGAAGGAAACAAAGTGAGCTGTATGGAGAGTTGAGGAAGAGTACTCATGACAGACAGAACCATTAGAATCTGAAGGTTGCTCCAGCAAGTGAGGTCAGAGCGGTGGGGTGGGGTCAGTTTGTGGATGACCAGTGGGTAGTTTGAAAAGCTTTAGCTCCTAGTGAGTGAGATAGCCGTTTGGGGGGAACGGGGCGGGGCTGTAAGGGGAGGAGACAGGAAGAGACAAGTTTGAAGACAGTAAAGTGAAGACACTGTAAGCCTAGTGGCTTAGACTCCCACCTTCAGCCTTCAAGTTCTGGGCTTGCAGACATGCAGCATGGGGACCCGAACACTGGCTACGGAGTGAATTATTGGGAAGTTTGTAGCTTCTGGTGGCTGGATAGCTGACAGTGTGGGGGAATGTTCTAGAATTAAGGTAGAGTAGAAGAGAGACCTAATTCAAGGGTGTGAGGAAGAAGATAGGAATTAATATTCTGGTAGCTTTTAAGAAGTTAAGAGCTGGTACAGATTTGGGAGGGGGATTGGGAGTTGGGTTTTGTTCTCGTCTGATGTTTAGTAGCTGTGTGGAGCAGCTGAGTGAGTGCTTGCATAATTACTGAAATCAGGAGGAGAGGCACAGCTGGAGAGCCAATTTAGGAGCTGCCAATATATAGAATTTTAAAAATGATGTTAGTATAAGATTTTAATAGAAGAAATTAGGGGTAGTTTGTGTGAATGCTGTACTTTCTGCTCATTTTTTTTGGGGGGTGGGGCCTGAAACTGCCAGAAATACCTATTTGAAATAAACAGTTTAAGGGAAAAAAAAAAAATTGCCGGGCAGTGGTGGCACACACCTTTAGTCCCAGTACTCTGGAGGCAGAGGTAAGTGGATCTCTTGAGTTTGAGGCCAGCCTGGTCTATAGATTGAGATCTAGGACAGCCAGGGCTAAACAGAAACCCTGTCTCAAAACAAAAGTTTTTTAAAGACTTAAGAAGAGAACACTTAGGCAGTGAGTGTATCAGAGGCGCAGGCAAGATGGCTTGGGGTAAAGGCCCTTGCCACCACAGCTAATGACCTAAGTCCTTGGGACTCATGTAGTGGAAGAAGAAAACCAACTCCTCAGAGTTATCCTCTGGCCTCCACGTGCACTGTGCTATACACACGTGTACACACACAAAGAAGTAGATGTAATTTAAAAATTGACAAGAGTGGGCTCAGGGATTTAGCTAAGTGTAAAGCACACACATGTGAGTGCACACACATACATTCAAGTAAGTGCTATGCACAGTAATAGACAACTGTAGTCACTGCTCAAGAGGCTGAGGCAGGAGGATAGTTTGAGCCCAGGATTTCTAGGGCCAGCCAGGGCAATGTTGTGAAACCTTGTCTCAAAAAAGAGAAGTTCCAGGTACAATGGTCAGGGAAAGGTCAGGAGCGTGATGAGGCTAACCAAAGGTTACTCAGTCAACTGAAAAAGCAGTTTAACAAGAGACACCTCAGCTGCACACATGCAAGGGGACAGAGGGGCAGCCACTGCAGCCGTGAGGGGTGTGAGACACGAACATAGCAAGGATTTATACAAGAGAACAAGGAATGCTTGCTTTGCACAGGGGCCTGGGAGGAGCCAGACCTTGGGGAGAGGTGCTGATCCCGCCACTATGCAAAAAGGTTCCATGGGAACGTGGGCTCCCTTCCACCTTCAGAATTCAACTCTGACTCTTCTTAGGTTCCCGCCATCCTGGGCTCCCCGGGAGGCAGCCCTATGTGAAAAACAGAAGGAAATGAGGAAGGGAGTGACTGCCTCTCAGGACACAGAGCCAGACAGTGGCAAAAATCCCCGGAAGACACAGATTTCTTTCCCCCCAAATATTTATCTTGTGTGTGTGAATATTTTGCCTGCACACCATATACATACAGTGTGTAAGGGATCAGATCCTCTGGAACTGGCATTACAGGGATGGTTGTGAGCCTGGTGGGTACTAGGACTCGAAATTAGGCCCTTTGCAAGAGCAATGGTTGCTTAACTGCTGAGCCATCTCTCCAACCCATATGGCTTTAAAACCAGTTTGGAGAACTTTGTTTATCTAAGGAAAGTCTGCTATAATACACACACAACCACAAGAGGGCGTGCTTTCCCCAAAAATCACAGGCTTAATTTTTTTTTTTTTAAGTTTTTGGTTTTTGGGGAAAACAAAAACAAAAACAAAACAAAACACAACAACAACAAACCCACCACAGCTTGCCTGAAAGCTCACCCATAGCTGGGTGCCAAATAAGGCCAGTGCCAAATTCTGCAATCTGACTTGTTTTTACAAGATCAAAGTGTTCCTTTTCTAGTGATGTGGTTTATCAGGAGCAAAACCACAGGGTGATCATGAAGGAATAGAGTGCTAAAATGTCAAGGTAGTTAGTATTTAGATTGTAGGTGATTCTTCTGGCAGGGATCCATCACAGGGAGCTACTAGGGGTGAACAGGGCTAAATGTATGTGGATGGAACTCCTCCTGGAATACACCTAACCTTAGACTATCGTTACAGTGACTGATGGAAGTTTAGAAGCACCCATAATCCTTTCCATTGGAATGCTCATTCCTCTTTCTGTGACTTCCAAGCTGGAAAGAATTTGGGGAAGAAATGGGAAAAGTGTTCTTAGGGGGGAAATTGCCTGAGCAGGCTAAAGGTCCACCTGGACAGGATGCCAGCCACCTAGCCAAGGGGATAGTTTGTGTGGACACCAAAGGGACTCTGTAAGGTCAGCGGCTATGTTTATGGTCATGAGAACCAGCAGTTAGCAAGAGCAAGTCATAGGAACTGGTTATCAGTAGAGAGGAAGGCAGAGAGCACATTCTGCCCAGAGAACACTGCAAGAAATGTCTGCAGTGATGTTCAGTGGCCAAAATCATCATGGGACCTGGAAATACGTCAGATAAACATGGTTGAAGTCAGGCAACAGTCTAATGTTCTCTTGGGCCTCAGGCTTTTTTGATTTCTAACCTTTCTCCATCCCAGCCATACTATGAACACACTCACGTGCGCGCACATACACACGCGCACACACACACACACACACACACACCAGCTTCAAATTCTTTCTTGGTGTTTACCTTTCCCAGAATCATTCCTGTTCACCCCGAACCCAGTTAGGCTTACAGTGTCTTCCTTGTCCTGGGCATTTATTTCTTCTTACTGGAGGCTGGTGGAACCTGGAATCCCATCCTTTGCTCCTGCCCCAAGGGCCTTATGAAGCCTGGCCTCACGGGCTCTTGGGACACTGGAGCAAAAGCAAACTTGGGGAGGGGAATATTGCAAAAATAATGATCTTGAGTATTTCCAAGTGAATCTTATTCCACCACAGCTCACAGCCGTGGTGTCAGGTGAACAGAGGGGACGACATTCTCCTCCCTGCTCATGGAAGTGTGCGTGTTCCAGAGAGATGGAAAAGGGATGGACTGATATATACACACTCCCTCCTTCCTGCACGTGCGTGCGTGCGTGCGTGCGTGCGTGTGTGTGTGTGTGTGTGTGTGTGTGTGTGTGTGTGTAGAGGCTAAAGGTCAACTTGGGGTGTTATTCCTTAAACTCCCCCCCCCCATTTTTTTAAACAGTGTCTCTCATTAGCCTGGAGTTAACCAATTAGTTAACCAATATTGTCCAGCTAGTGAGCCCCAGGGACCCGCCAGCCTCCACCTCCCCAGTTCTGGAATTATAAACTTATGCCACCACACCTGGCCTTTTTCTTTTCTTTCTAATGGGCTCTGGGTATCCAACTCAAGTCCTCATGTGTGCATGGCAGGAACTTTACCCACTGAGCCACCTCCCCAGCCTCCTGAACTGATTCCTTCTATCAGGGTTCTCCCTAGGTACCTGGGCTGGGTGTGGTGTCGGGTGGGGACATGAGCACAGGACTCTGACTTGCTCATGTTTCAGACTGTGGCTAGACCCTCTCCTCTCTGAGTCCACTCTGCTTTCAAAGGCAAGTATGCAACCGTTCCCCAATTCCTTTCTCTGTAGGTCACTGGATTCTTCAGTGGGGTTGGCAGTGGCCCTGAAGCCCCAGGTCCTGTCATGGCATGCTAGAAGTGGTAGGGCCCAGGTCTGTCACCCTTTGCTAGCTGGCAGATATGAAGTGATCCGGGGTAGGGTAGTCTGCTGGTCTCATGCTCTTCTCCCCGCCTGTGGACCCTGGGGACTTCCAGATGGGAGACAGCTCAGACCCACAAGAAGCCAAGCCACCAAGTGGTGGGGCTGTCCACACTTGGTTCTCAGATTTCCTGTTCAGCCCTCGGGCCACTGCCTGGGTCTGCAGGCCCAGTGGATTGGAAGCCCCCCTCCCTCCGGCTCTGAAGGAGGCTGGGCCAGCCAGGGGGTTATTTTGGGAGCAGCTTCTGAGATCCAATGGCCTTGTTAGGGCAACACTGACCTTTCTATCCTGGGAGGAAGGCAGGGCTGGAGAAGGGGCGGGGCAGTCGGGAGATCTGAGCCGCACGCCCACTGGGGTGGATGAGAAGGGGGCCAGCGGCTGCTTCAGGGTGGGCAGCGGGAATTCAGCCCTGGCGAGGCTGCTAACGCGCAAATTGCCCCTCTTTGAAAAGACAGGACCTCTCTACTCCTTTCAAAGCTCTTTTTAAAGAGGGCACACCGGATTCCATGGAAGCTGGACCTGGGACGCTCTGTGGGAACTTGGAGTCTCTTCTGTCCACTTCCTTTGCAAGTCGCAGCCTTGCTGGGATGACTGAGGGGGCCTCCCAGCCATGGCACTGACCAGCGCCCCCACTGCTGACTTGGCCTTTGGTCTCTTTCAGCCTCTGCCGGCATCTTGCTTTTGCCCCCCTCCTGGAGCCGGGTGGTGAGTCTAGAGGCTCAGCCTGAAGGTGCCTGGAGAGCATCGGTACCCCAACGGCCCAAGCTGGCGGACCGGGCCATTGTCAGGAGTGAGGATGAGATGAGCGGGGGCCGCTTTGACTTTGATGATGGTGGAGCGTACTGTGGGGGCTGGGAGGGGGGGAAGGCGCATGGGCACGGACTGTGCACCGGCCCCAAGGGCCAGGGTGAATACTCGGGCTCCTGGAATTTTGGCTTTGAAGTGGCGGGCGTCTACACCTGGCCCAGTGGCAATACCTTTGAGGGATACTGGAGCCAGGGCAAACGGCATGGGCTTGGCATAGAGACCAAGGGGCGCTGGCTCTACAAGGGGGAGTGGACGCATGGCTTCAAGGGGCGCTACGGAATCCGGCAGAGCACAAGCAGCGGTGCCAAGTACGAGGGCACTTGGAACAATGGCCTACAGGACGGCTACGGCACCGAGACGTACGCAGATGGAGGTGAGTCCAGTTCAGCCCGCTAAGCTTGAGGGGGGTCCAGAAGGGACCGCGGAAAAGGACAGGGTAGTTGGCAAAGAAATAGATGGTCTAGGATAATATTTGCTGTGTGGCTTTGGGTAAGCTACTCCACCTCTCTGTATCCTCCCTCCGACCCCCGTCCCCCCATCCCCCAGACAAGAGTTTCTCTGTGAAGCAGCTCTGGCTGTCCTGGAACTCACTCTGTAGCCCAGGCTGGCCTCGAACTCACAGAGATCCGCCTGCCTCTGCATCCTGAGTGCTGGGATTAAAGCCTTGCACCACCACACCCAGCTACAACTATTTTCTTATCAGTAAAGGTGGGATAATAAAAGGGTTACTGAGGGGACTGGCAAAAATTAGTGTAAGGCTGTCATATAAAAACACACTCATCGGACACTTGATAAGATGCAGTCATTTCTGTTTACTTTCTAGGTATGGAAACAGCTAGATTTTAGCTTGTGTTTTAGCAGAACTGGGGGCTGGCCTCAACTTTGCTATGAAAAATATGTTCACAGGATGTATCATGACAGTGTTTATTCATTCATTTCTCCATCCATTCACCCACCAACCCACACATCTAATCACCCACCATTCATTCACCCATCTCCATCCACCCATCTGTCCATCTCCCATTCACCTATCCATCCATCCATCCATCCATCCATCCATCCATCCATCCATCCATCCATCCATCCATCTACTCAATATATTCTTTCATCCAACACATATTTCTAGACAAGCACTCTACATCCCCAGCCTTACTCAATGAGGGTTTTGGTGGGACCTCCTATTTGTCACTTGTTACACAAATGATTAGATACAAAGAGGACTAGGACACAGACTCTGGCTTCAAAGATAGGAAGGCAAGCAGGCAGGCAAGCATTATACACAAACATGTCAGAGAGTGGTCGCAGGTCAGAGTGGTGAGAAGGAGGCTTTCAGGACACAATTCCTGAGCTAATTTGGTGGGAGATCTGTGATCATGAGAGCAGGAGTTGGGGGCTGTGCCATCAGAGAGGGGACTTAAAGGGCCTCGGAGCGCATAACAGTTAGAGAAAATATAGAGCAGTTTTCTGAGCACTGGGAAATGGCGGTACAGATACCTCACTTCACCCGCGGGTGTGACTTGGACATGCCACTTACCTGAACCTTAGTTATGTTTTCCACAGAATGGAGCACTCAGGACATAGGTACTCAGAATGTGGGCGGTGAACAGACAGCACCAGCTTCTACCCTCAGGCGAAGGTCAAGTTGAGAGCTCTCCAGGCCTTCTGTGAGCAAAAAAAGGCTGTAACATGCTCACCAGGAAGACTTGAAGCACATTAGAGATCTGAAGGTGTGCTTTACTGGTACCATGCTGTAGTCTGGAAGGCTGAGGCAGGAGGGTCATTTTATAACAGCCTGGCAACATAGTGAGACCCTGGCAAGGAAGGGAGGGAGGGAGGGAGGGAAAGAGGGAGGAAGGGAGGAAGAGAAGGAATCAAGGATGAGAAAACTGTAGAGATCACTGCCTGTTTTGTATATATTCTGAAATGAGAGTGTTTTGCGTTAACAATAATGTGAAACAATCTGAAGAAAAGTATTCGGTAACACATGAAAAGCAGATGAAAGCCCCATATGACATCTTCACCTTTGTCCATCGACTCACAAAACATAAAGCATTCACCTGTCAGCTCTCAGGAAACAGTTATCGACTCCTGCAATCCTTTCTGTTGAGACAGAATTTTGCTCTGTAGTTCAGTCTGACTTCGAACTTGTAATCCTCCTGCCTCAGCCCCCAGAGTGCTGGGATTATAGACATGCACCACCGTGCCCTGTGGTTCTTCTGACTGGGGTATTTCCATGGCCCTTTGCTGTTGTGCTGTGTGACTCAAAGCTATGGCCCTTTAGAAAATATTTATTCTTGGCATGAGAAGCCACTTGTAGGACATCGTAGTTATGATTTAGTCCTTTACGGGAAAAGAGCACTCTGAGCGTGGAGCAAGGGCCAGGGAATAGCAGTGCCCTGGGTGAGTTTGCTCAAGCTGAGACACGTGGAGGGCAGTTGGAGAGCAGCTTGAGGTGCAGGATCGGTCCATACCTGGGTGTGAGCTGCCTTCAACTCTGTCCCCCCAGCTTCACAGAACAGCTCTGTAGAACTGGATGGAACAGGATTGATCTGAGGACAAATTCTGATGACCTTGAGTCATTCCCTCAGCCTCCAACTCAGTGCAGTTCAGCTCAGCAGATGTTTGTGTCGGGCACGGTACTAGGCGCCGGAGGCTAGGCAGAGAGCAAGTGTCAGTTTCCCGAGCTATCAAATGGGCACAGTCCTTGCATGTGTATAGAGTATCAGTCATCTGGGCACATTTCACAGGTATGTGCCAAATACCCCTTCCTATATCTCTTGGGCAAAAAGGTGCATGGCAGGTATGTGCCGAATACCCCTCCCTATATCTTTCCAAAGGCTTGGAGATCTGGATGTGAATCACAGGGATACACATTGCTGGGGTGAGGTGCACACAGGATATGGTGGGCTGATCTGCCAACGTGTCTAAAAGGAGGAAACCTATTCACTCCTGGAGCTGACAGCACTGACCACCTGCCATTGTGCCATGCCTGGTGTTAGGGACCGGAGCAGGGGGCAGACCAGATCCTCCAAAGGCCCTGTTTAGTGAAGGAGACAGAAGTAAACCAGGAAACACTATATGTATGTATGTGTATGTGTATGTGTATGTGTATGTGTATGTGTATGTGTATGTGTATGTGTATGTGTATATGATATACACACACACACACACAGAGTTTCTCAAGGTTACCACTAGAGAAGGAAGAGGGTGGTTGCATGAAGTGGTCTCAGATGCAGGTGGGGGAGGACTGGAGAGGAGAGTTTTTCAAGCAGATAGTGGAGATGCAAAGGCCCTGAGGTGGGACCAGGCAGGCTTAGCACGTCTGAAGAACAGGGAAGACGAGGCAGGAATCCAGGTTGAAATGGCAGACATAAGCTAGGTGGCCTGGGTGTGTGGGTCCTAGGTTTGAGCCCAGGTGTGTCCTGGAGTCTTGAGGCCAGGTGGTCCAAAGCCAGCTGCTCTGCTTGGTCCAGCCTTCTCCTTCCCAGGGAGATGGCCCCACATCCAGGGACTTGGGAAACCTTTTGGGTTCTCTCTCCCAAGCCACACATAAGGCGTAACCCTCCAAATTTAGATGTGGCCGCTGCTTCGGAAAATGTCTTTAATCAACCTGTCATCAGTCCCCTGAGGGTTTGCTAAGGACCTGCCCCTTGCCCTCTGCTGCGTGGCACCAAGAGGAATGAGGACAGATAAGATCCTAAGATTAGGAGCAGGTGGGGGCAGGGCAAATCCCAGGTTATGACCCTGCCCCAATGGATCATTTTGGAGCCTTTGTGTTCTCAGCCATGAAGGATCCACTCCTGATCTCTCATGTGATTTAAAAATAGTATTATTATTATTATTATTATTGCATTTATTCAGGTGGGGGGTGGCAAGGCATATGCGACCACCAGAGCATGTGTGGAGGTCAGAGGACAACTTGTGAGAGTTGTTTTCTCTCTCCATGGTGTGTGACCTGGAGACCCCATTGACAGCCTCAAGACAAGTAAGTGCCTTTACCCGCTGAGCCAGCGAGCCAGCCCCCGATCTATGTCACATGGGAAAATGACAGAATTCAGTCAATGGTAGTTCCATCATTACCGCTAAGATTATCAATTCACTCAATAAGCATAGATTGTATTTTGCAAAGCAAGCACTACATTTTACTGGGAAGTGTAGAAAGGACAGAATGATCGAGCCAGGAATGTAACAGGAGCCACTGACCACAGTGGCCAGTGCTAGGCTGGGCCAGGCGAGGAACCAGAGCTGGAGGCTGGGACTTCAGAATTCAGGAGGACCTTCTGGAGTAAGTGACGCTCCAAGCCCGTCGCCGGTTCATGAGTGAGCTGGACCACTCTTGGTTGAAAGGACAGAGTCCACAAATGTCAGGTGGCCCACAGCTTGCTCCTCAGTCTCCACAGAGAGTTGGAGCTTGCATCTTGTCGGGGATACTGGGAAGCTGCCTTGCCTTGCAATGAACTGTGACTAAGCCAAAGCAAACATCAGCTCTCCAGGCTGGAGGTGACAGTTTGTTGGTAGACAGATGAATTTAGTGGGCCAGAACCTACATTTCTCAGGTTGAAAGAATGGTAGGTACAGAAGAGAAACTATTAGAGTCTCTCACAGAGAACAAGCTGAAGCATTATTTCCTGAAAAAAAAAAAAAGTTCAGTTAATGTTATGTATGTACACATGTATGTGCATAAGTGTAATGTATAGACACACATATGTATCACTGTATGTCTTAAAAATCAGTGTTTATTGGTGTTGTGTTGGAAAAGTATCTGTTACTGCAGGCCATGGCCGAAAAGGTTGAGAGTCGCTGTTCGGAAGCAACTTGCCCAGCACCTTCTTTGAAGGCCCTGCCCACCTCCACCCAGCTGCCACCTCTGCAGCCCTGCTTTGATGGAGGGTTAAGTTCTTCAGCTCTGGCATGGGAAGGGGTGGGGGTGGGGAAGGCCCCTGGACTGGAGCCTCTTGGCGTCCTCCCGCTGCTATAGCCCTCATTCCCTCCCTGGCCATATAAAGCAAAGCTAAAAATAGCTGCTGATTTAAAGCCGGTGCACATACCCCCGCCCTGAAGAAGTGCTCACTGCTTGACTACCTGACTGCTCCCACCAGGACACCCATAGACTCTGGTCTTTGAGGGACTGTTTGGGACCCTGGCTTTCCCCTTTCCTTTTCCTCTTCCTCCTCCTCCTCATCTTCCTCCTCTTCCTTCTCTCCTTCTCCTCATCTTCCTCCTCCTCCTTCTCATCTTCCTCTTCCTCCTCTTTCTCCTCCTCCTTCTCATCTTCCTCTTCCTCCTCTTCCTTCTCCTCCTCCTCTTCCTTCTCCTCCTCACCCTTCTCCATCCCGTCCCTGTCTCTGCTTTGGAGACCGAGTCTCACTCTGA